TAATCAACAACTCTCGATATGTGAGGCTTGTCGATTAGTCTTTCTTTGCCACATGCGAGATTCTCTCTAGATGGCAAGATATAGGTCCCGCATCATTTTTTGGCAGTGTCTCGTGTCTCGATTGGAGTATGTATACTTCGTAGGGATCGAGACCTACGAAGAGTGAGAGGGTATTGGTGATAGATCGTTAGTATGGGAATATAAAAAATCCCTAATCGTGAGACCGATTCTGCGATAGGAGATTGTTTTCGAACATCTAGTCGATATTTCCTAAACCGCATTCGAGGTGTTATTCGAGTCGGCAAGGGAAGAGTTGTTCACAACGGTATCAAACGAATTCGCGTGTTTTGTAGGTATCGGTGTTGAGGATATAGTGTTATTGTGGATTATTAGCCCATCCGTATGAGATTCCGTGGCGGCCTGTTTTATAAGGACGCACGGATCATGTCGTTGTAGTAATCGAGTTTTTCTACCGTGACCCGGGCATGAGATGGAAGCTCGATACAACAAGTCAACCCTATATGTTGATTCTGTTGGAGTATGCTATCGAGACACGAAAGGACCGGTTAGGGTCTTGTGTATTGATAGATAAGTAGAGTGTGAGAATACCTTACCATGGGGAGGTACGCTGGTAACGATGGTTATCTCGCGACAACCCTAAAGGTGCCATGCGAGGTGGCTGGTACAGACAGAGGTGGAGTATGCCGTTATTCTTGTTACTGTCACGCGTACTCAATCCTATTTTGATTCCCAACCAAGTCGATGATTTAGCCTAATGGTTGACTCCACCACCGGAACTCACGAGGATGCATGACACGTTCTGTGCCTCTTGATGGAGGAAACGTGTGCGTGATCTCAGAGTACATGTGAAATGTGACGAGCTGCGTGATAGGCAGAACCCTACCTGTTTAGAGGTACCGGTGACTTTTAGAAAAAGACCGAGAGGGGTACTCGTCAAAGTCCAGTGGTGGTTGTCAAGGCAAGACGACTTGGGAGAGGGAAACTAAAATTCGGAGGAGGTACCGAAATTTGATGTATTGATGTTGTCTCCTCTTATTTCTCGTTGTATCTTGTCGTGGTTTGTTTTTCAAATTCCGAGGACGGAATTCTTTGTAAGATGGGTAGACTGGAGCGCCCCATTTATTTATGGATTATTTAGAATTATTTATTATTATAATTGATATTATTTATTGTTATTCCTATTATTAATATAATAATAATAATAATTATTATTATTATTATTATTATTATTATTATTATTATTATTATAATTAATGACATTTTATTTTATTACTTTATAAGCTTTGATTATGTGATAATATATTATATTATCATGTGGATAATATAATTATATATAGCTCGTTCGATTTTATTTTATCGATCGCCGTTTAAATTTTTGGTTTAATCGCGTAAGCCGAATTATAGTTCGATTTTGATTCCGTAAAAATTATTTTTCCTCTCTTATCCTCCTTCAATACTTGAGCCATATTTCATGCGGTTATTAGTAGGTTTATAGGATATTTTTCTAAGTCAAATCCATGTTACCGGTTAATTATGTTAATGATAGTAGCATGTGCATTGCAATTGTTTATTCCACATGTAAGACTTTGTTACCTCATTCCCTCATCACCATGTGCATAACCAAGAGCTTTTTTCCAGCTCATTAGCAACCAAACTCACGTTTGAAATTCAGTAAGCTAAGACAAATCACATGCAAAATGTCAACCATCCTTAGCATTTAGTAGAACATGTGCTATGATGATATTTTTAATGCTATTGTAAGAAATTGTTTTGTCTTACCTTATAGTTGGCCAAATCTTGTTCCCTACTCCATGTGTACTTAATCAGATGCTCTTTTGTTCAGCTAACCACCCATTCGGTCGAGCATAATATCCCCAAGTCAACTAGACAACTCATGTGCATGTAGGGAAGTTCAACCGCCAATTCCTACCATTTCTTACATCTTGTTTGTACCCATATGAGAGATATTATAAGTCTCATTTTCTAGCTGAGAATAGACATTATACCTTCAGCAAACACTTAGCAAATTTTGTTCTAAACTCCTCCCTCAAAGGCAAAAGCTGAAGGTACGCCACAAGTTCAAGCAAAGCCAAGAGAACCGAGCATCCCCTTTTTCCTTTCATTTTCTTGTTTAGTTGAACAAGGTAAGAAGGCTATATTTTGTACATGCCAATAGCTTAGTTGGTGTGTTATTATGTGTGTTAAAGTGTGGCTAAGTTTTAGTTTATATGAGGATATATCCATGTTGAAGGGTGATCATGTAGTAAATGACTTATATTTCGATTTATATTGCCTCTGTTGTGTTGCTGCAAAGGGCATAAAAACTCATTTTATGAAGTTGTGTTCTTCATATGATATGTATATCATTCTGTTGTGGTCTTATGAGTTTTGGAATTTTAAAAATCCGATTTAAGATGAGAGAGATATGATTTTTACAAAAATATAGCGCGAGCAGTTTTTAACAAAACCCGGCAGCAAGTTTATGTTGAATGTTTTACCTGTTTGTTGCATTTTAATGTGCTCAAATAGAAATATGGTTTTCATGAACGTTATAGGTCTTTCTAAGCTTTCTGATGAGGTACAATTCATGTTGATATGATTACTGTAGCTCGGTTTGTGTTAGATAGAAGTAGGATAAGCATGTAGTGAGTTATACTTTTAGACAGCAAGGTGGTTCTAAATGTTAGTTGATTTTACTCCTCTGTAATGACCTTATCTACCTTAGCATTCTAAATGAAAGTTGTAGAAATGTCTCTTAGGTTTCTAACAAGGTAAGAAGCATGTCATATGATGAGTGTAGCATGAGATGTGAGTTTTGTAAAAATGTTATGCAAGCAGTTTTTGAAAAATCGGGCTGAGTATATGATATTGATGTTTGGTCCGAAAGTGATGTTCTAACATGCTCAAATGTGAAAGTGATCTTTATGATCATTGTTGGTATGCTTCTCGTCTATCCATTGGTTTTAAAATCTGATCAATTGGAGGTCTATATAATGATTTAAACTATAAATACCGAAGTGCTGTTTGTAAACTGAAACCAAGTTCCGACAGATTTTAGGACCCAAATGTTTTGTGCTTAAAACTGTTGATAATGCCCTTATTTGACAGCGTGGTCTTCAACAAAGTTGTTTAAAATTGAGTTAGCTACATTTTGGTTTTTGGAATTTCCTTGATAGCATGTCTATAGCTCCATTTATATTGAATATACTGAGGTTCTGTCCATTACATGTTTTCCAGATTTTTTCACAGCATCCCCGTTTCATATGTTTGATGTTCTAAGGCCTGCCAAATGACATTAACTGCTTCAGATGTCTTCATAAGAATTTTAGAGGCATCTCTCAGGATTCATATGCAACTGATTTCGTGTCAATATGAATTGTGTGCTGCATTGGGTGTCGATTTCAAAATCGCTGCGCGGGTTATGTTTCGAAAATTTATGTGGTGTTTTCGAAAATAAAATCTATCTTTTTAATGCTTGCTAATATGACTTATATGGGCTGAATTGACCTAAGCGTTTTTGATATAAATGTTGATATGAGTGGATCTATGTGTTGGATAGTCTTTGATAGGAACCTCGTAACCATTGTAGGTATTTGACGAGCCGTGCTATCATCCTATCGACTCTTGAGTATTTAATTGCTATTTCGGTACCAGGTGGGTTGTTATTCAAAAATTATCTATGCATATGCGTGATTTTAATTGTGATGAAAGTTTGGTGTGATCTATGTATGAAAATGAACATGTAGCCTATCGATGTGAGCTTGATGGTCATCGGTACGGTTGTCCCCGTATGATAAGATACGGTTACCTTGTGAGGTAAATCTCATAAAGACATATGAGAAGGTCGTTTCATTGATGTGGCACGCACTTCCATGTTTCATTTATATGGCATGGCTTAGCTTTGATGAGCATAGATGTACATGAGTGAGTCTTTGATGAGATTAGAGTCATTGATGTGACTAGAGTTGTGACATGATTTTATTGTTTATGTTCATGCTGCGACCATACCATTTATATGTTATTCATATGCATAGTGTGAGTACGATATCTAACTATACTCACTCCCACCTGCTCTTCACGGATGCAGGTTAAGCAGTTGGCGGGTGACGAGACAAGACGGGTGGTGGTCATGTTTTTATTTATTGCTTATTTATTTGCTTCCGCTCATTTAAGGAACTCATGGTGAGATATTTTGATTATGTCGTTTTGAACTTGGAATTATGAATTATCTTTATGATTTGGAACTTAATAAATGCTAGTTTAGTTTATGATTTATTATTCGTGCATTCTGTCTTTATCTGATGTGTTGGCATTTTCGAATAAAAAGTTTTGGTAAAATAAGTAGCGCCCACTAAGTTTTTATTAAATTGAGATTTGCGAAAAATTAACTCTGATTTTTATTAATTAAATTCGATAAATCTTTAAAATAAAGTGGGGCGTTACCTATGAGTTGGATTTAAGATCTGAAAAAATAATGATGGAATTCCATCTTCCCGAGGCCCGAGAAGAAAACCGTGCAGATGACCATATCATATGGTGTTCGTCCCGCCGCCTACATCGTCTGCCGCCTCGAGGGTCAGCATATGACTCGTCGGCGGGTAGGGACAACTAGTCGGAAAGGTGTGGTTTACTGATTTAGGGTTTACCTAATTTTGATTTCCTTATTTTGTTGTTGGGGTTTAATTGATTGTTTTGGGATTGCATATATGTGAGTTGCTGGGTTTTTTGTTTCTAATGTTTCTCAATTTTCATTTGTGTTTTGAAATAACAACGTTGATTTTTTTTTTCTATGATTTACAATTGGGGTCGGATCCCAGGTCCAGGTGAATTTAAGAATTTAACACGAATAATTTGACACAGCTCGTCGGAGAAGAAACGCTAAAACAATTCGATAGGTAATGATTCTATTGGTTTAATTTCTATGTTATATTTTTCTATTTTTCAACACGATCTAAAATATTGGTTATGGATTTAAGCAGCCCGAGGCTTGATAAGAAAACTGGGCATAGCAATATTCTACATGGGTTGGATCATGGTGTTCAACCATCTACGCCCCGACCGCAACCAAGTTGAAAAAGCCCGACTACGAGAGGCTCTGTTGTTTGAGATGTATGCAGCACGTGGACCATAACTTTCAAACCACTTGCGTTTGTCGAGTCTCGAAGCATCTGCGCGAGGAGAAGGTCGTGGAGTGTGTGCATTGCGGCTGTGGGGGCTGCGTGAGTGGAGATTGAGGATCGTGTTCTGAACTGTTTGCTAAGAAAGTGCTATTTGGCTCTTGTGTATATCCTGTGTAATATGAAGCGTTCGAATCTGATACAACTGAAGTTTTTGTACTAATGTGGTCTCCAAGTCGATATTCTCTTGGTTCTTCTATTTATGAAATGGTGTGTACTTAATCGAGCATGAAATAATGTTATTTGATACTCCCTTCGAAATTGACCTACAAAAATGTAGTGCAGATCTGTTGTTTGTTTATGTGAGGTAGATTTGTTTAATGCACAGAGTTTTTATGAGTTTTTATGGGTTTTGTAACTTTGTATATTGGTATGTAATTTATTTGTATTTTGAAGATGTTTATTGATGGTTTGGTTTTTTTATTTCTTTGTAGTTTATATTAAGTCTTATTTTTCATAGGATTTGTTTCTCAACTAGTGTGTACCCCGTGCGATGCACGGGAACAACATTAAATTAACAATATTATAAATAGACCTCGAGTTTGAGTAACTCAATAGCGGAAGTGGAAACTACTATTGATCCTGTTTAAAAAGAGGAAGAAAAAATAATAATTATAAATTAAAGAGGAGGATAAACAATACTTAATAATTATAAATTAAATATTCGGGGTCAAACAATGTAAAATTACTATGTATAAGAGAATATAAAAAAATTTGATTACACACCATTTCAAAATTATTATTATATTTTTTTGCATGATTAGCTTATAATATTTGTAAAAATATTCGTAATTAGACCGATAAAAATTAGCTTCTTAAAGTAGATATTATAATATTTGTAAAAATATTAGTAATTAGACCGATGAAAATTAGCTTCTTAAAGTAGATAATGGATTTCTAGTAGTAATTATGAATTGGTTTCTATTTTATTTTATTTTTACAAATCTGTATAGATAAGAGATGAGATTTTTTAAACACGTGAGACGTATGCAATGGGATTTTGTAACAGAAGAGATAAGCTCGTGTAGATTTATACTAAAAATAGGAAAAAGAAAAACAAATATTTATTGTCAAACAACGATTTTGATAAACTAAAAAACAGAAAAAAGAAAAACAAATTTTTACACAATTAATGAGCCAATTTATTTTCCTATTCAGATTTGTCCAACAATTACTATATGTAGGATATATTTAATGATTTTGGCGGGAAAATATTTCTAAATTTGTAAAATAGTTATTCTTTTTATATAATGATAGATTTGTTTTTCATGATATAGTTTAAAAAAATAGATAATAAGCTAAAGATAAACTTAAGATATAGTAAAAAAATAGATAATAAATTTAATATAAACTAAAGATAAACTTAAGATATAGTAAAAAAAATAGATAATAAACTTACGATAAACTAAGATAAACTTAAGATATAGTAAAAAAAAAATAGATAATAAACTTAAAAATAGAGATAATGTAACAAACTTAAGATAAACTGAACATAAACTAAAAAAATTTATAAGAAAAAAAAAAGATGATAATTTTAAAATAGAAAATATATCTGTTCATAAAAATAGATAATATACTTAAGATAAACTAAAAGTTTCAAATTAATTTTTAATAAATTATAGAGATAATGTAATAAACTAGATAAACTAAAAATAAACTAAAAGAGTTTAATAAAAAAAAAAGATAGATATAAATTAGAAAATATATATTCTTGTAATTATTTATAAACCTATAATAAACTACATATAAATTTACATTAAAATTTTAATTGGTTAACAAACTTAATTTTCCTCAAACTCCCAAGAACACATTCGTTCTGCAACCCCTTGAATCGTGGAAATCAACCCAACTTCCACAATTTTATTTTATTTTTTTCAAAAGGCAATTAAAACTTCATAAAACTCAAGATCAAGTCTGGTGACCAAATGGTTACAACTTTACAACCCCTACAAATGCAGAAGCTAAAAGCATGAACTAGAGAAAACCTAACTCTACAAGGCAACATGCCAATAGCATGAGGACAACACAGTCTATAACACAGTATCAATAAAGACATTACAATGCAAAATCAAATCCCTAGTCAAAGACAAATCTGAGCAAATCCCATCCTTGATACCTAAGCTACTAGACACCATTTCAGCCAATTCTGCAGAATGAAGGAGAAGTGAGAAATTCTTGCAATTATTACTCTTGGCCTGAGACAAACCCCACACAATTGCCCTCAGCCAGCCTTCTTTTTCCTGCACCACTCCTAGGAATTCTTTGTGCCAGTGAACCGGCTGTAGCCCTTGTTGATGAAAGGAACATTCCACAAAGAACTCTCCAGCAGAGGATGTTGAAGCACTGAGAGTCATCACTGACTGACCTACTTCCTTAAAAAATTCATCCATCTGAGAATCATCTTGTGACTGTCCCCTACTTCTGGCCAAGCTAGCAGGTTTGGTTGATATCCAGTCCAACCACTCAGATTTAGCCTCTTCTACAACCTGGTAATCATGTATCCAGTCACCTTTATACACCCATTTATTCCTGGCCTTCCATAAGTGCCACAGCAAAAAAACAAATAACCCCAACTCTCTTCTTTCATCCTCAAGTTCTTAGCACAACATATATTCAACCACCATTGCTGAAAGTCCACAAACTCAGCTGGCTGAAGACACCAACTGATCCCACATAAGTTCCAACAAGTTTTAGCTCTCTGACAGTTGAATAGAATGTGATTTAAGTCCTCTTCAGAGTCTCCACAGATAGCACATGTGGCATCAACACTCATTCCTCTCTTCAAAAGTTGATCAGTTGAACTCAGATGGCCAAACCAATATTTCCACATAAAGTTCTTAATCTTATGTTTTACATTCAAGTGCCAAGTTACCCTCCACATCTTTGGAATAAGTGCAGGGTCTCTGCTTGAACTAGCCTCCTCCTGAGTACTTGCTTTCTGCTTCATGATAAATTTGTACACTTCCTTCACTGAAAAATGTCCTTTGGGATGCCAATGCCACATCAACTTATCAGGACCAGCAGGATCAGGAAGAGGGATATTAAGAATAGCTGCTGCAACATCAAGGTAAAAAGTTTGACAGATCAAATCTAAGTCCCACTCTCTGCTACCCTCTCTAGTTAGCTCACTCACCCTATTTAATCTAACACCATCTTCAAGAAAGTAACAACTAGGTTTAAAGTTTGAGCAATCAGGAATCCAAGGAGAATTCCATATAGAAATAGATAACCCATCCCCTACTTTAAACCTAGCACCCCCAACTAGAAATTTTCTAACACTCAATAAACACTTCCAAAGCCAAGAGTCATAAGGCTTTGAAGTCACAGTGAATGAGCTATCATGCCAAAAGTATTTACCCTTAATGACCTTGCTGACCAACAAGTTTGGCTGGGTAATGAATCTCCATAATTGCTTCACAAGTAAAGCATCATTAAATGCAATGAGATCCTTAAAACCCAAACCTCCCTTGTCTTTATCACTCACCATCTTATCCCATCCCACCCAATGGATTCTCTTTCCCCCTCTCTCATTGTAACCTCACCAAAAATCTGCAATGTTCTGACAAAGTTTTCTAACAATACTAACTGGGACTTTAAAACAAGACATAATGTAAGTAGGAAGAGCATTCAATACTGCCTTAATCAACACTTCCTTACCACTCTCACTCAAAAACTTGTTTTTCCAGTTTTTAATTTTGTTCTGAATACACTCACAAAGAAAAATGAAAGTCTCTCTCTTATTTTTCTCAATGCCTAAAGGAAGGCCAAGATACTTGGAAGAGGAAACTCTTGAAATCCCAGACAGTGCATTACAGATATTGATATAGTGATCCTCTTGCATGTTTTTGGAAAAGAAGACAGAAGATTTGTCAAAATTAACTAACTGACCCGAGTCATTCCCATATTTAGCCAAAATAGAAACCAAAAGATTAGCATGATGCATATCAGCCTTACAAAACAACAAAGAATCATCAGCAAATAAGAGGTGGGATATACTAGGAGCATGGGGACCAATCTTAATACCCTGATACTGACCAGAAATGCAAGCTTGGTGGATCAAAGAAGAAAAAGCCTCTGAGACTAATATGAACAAATAAGGGGACAAAGGGTCCCCTTGTCTTAAACCTCTAGTAGGTTGAACAAAACCCAAAGGAGACCCATCAATATTAAAGGAATGAGAAGCTGAGCACACACAAGCCAATATCCAAGAAATGAAACTAGAATAGAAGCCCATTTTCCTACAAACCCTAGCTAGAAAACCCCATTCCACCCTGTCATATGCTTTTGCCATATCAAGTTTCACAGCCATATAGTTCATTTTACCTATTCTCTTGCTATTGATAAAATGAATACATTCATTAGCTATAATCACATAGTCCAATATTTGTCTACCTGGCACAAAAGCATATTGTGATTTGGAAATGCAAACAGACAACACAATTTCACTCTATTAGCCATCACTTTAGCAATGAGTCTATACACTAAAGAACACAAACTAATGGGCCTAAAATCAACAACACAGGTAGGGTTTTTCTTCTTAGGAATCAGAGTTATCACAGTATGATTCAAACCTCTAGGCATTCTACCCTGAGCAAAGAAATTATCCACAGCTAGACACACATGATGTTTCAAAATAGGCCAAGAGCTTTAGAAAAACAATGCAATGAATCCATCAGCTCCAGGAGCCTTATCTTTGGCCATTTCAAACAAAGCTGTGCTAATCTCTGCCTCATCCACAATTTTGGTTAATTCAGAATCCATATAATCAGTAATAGTGCAAGCAATACCATCCAAGGAGCATAATTCATCCAAAGGGTTAGAGGATTTAAAGATATTTTCAAAGTAAGCCAACAATTCAGACAACACATCATGAGAATTTAAGCATGGAGTCCCATCCCTTTTTAAAATTCCATCTAGCTTATTGAGCTTCCTTCTCTGATTAACATAGGCATGAAAAAATTTAGAGTTCCTATCCCCCTCCTGAAGCCAATGCACTCTAGCTTTTTGTTTCCAGAAATTCTCCTCAGTTTTATAAGCTAGGTGCGATTCAGCTTTCTTAGCAAACCAATCTGCCCAATCTCTATCCCCTTCTAAGGTTCTAAGCTGGTTCAAATTAGATTTACATTTATCAATCACAAGTTTAGCATTATGCACATGAGATTTTTTCCACACCAACAATTGACTCCTAACATTTCTGAGCCTATCTTGGAGGCTGAAAAGAGCATGGCCCTTAACAGGCTTGTTCCAAGCCTCCTCCACCACAGAACTAAAATTCTCCACATGAATCCAATTAGCATCAAAGACAAATTTCCTTCTAGCAGGCACAAAATCAGGTAGACACTCCAACAACAACATACAATGATCAGAGGAAACAAGGTTAATGTGCTTCACCAAAGCATTAGGAAACTGAAGAAACCAATCAGGAGAGAAGAGAAATCTATCCAATTTCTCTTCCACAAAGCCAGTTCCTTGTCTATTATTGGACCAAGTAAATGGATGTCCCACAGTCCTGGTCTCAACAGCCCCTAAAGCCCTGACAAAGTCTCTAAAGGCAGCAAAACTAGCTTTCTCTCTCCTCACTCCCCCCTTCTTATCAGCTTGGCAAAGGATATCATTGAAATCACCACACACAAACCAAGAACTACCCCACATCAAGCTGTGTCTAACCAGGATTTCCCATTGTGTTGCTCTAACCACATTGTCAGTACTAGCATAAATAAAAACAGCCCAAAGAATAATATCCATCTCCTTAAACTTGAAACTGACTTCTAAACCAAACTCTAAATATTAATAGCTATAATAGAGATATTATCAGACCAAGTCAAAATAAGACCTCCCCTAGTACCCACAGGGTTAACATACACCCATCTTTCTACTAACTTAAGCTTCTTACACATAGCAACTACAAATTTTTCTTTTTTTTTTTTTTTGTTTCAGACAAAAAGGCAAAATCAGGGTGGTGGAGCCTTAAGGCTTCCTTGAATTGGGAAATTGTAGAGGGCCCTCCCAAACCTCTACAATTCCACACAAAAACCTTCATTGGAAACTGTGGGACCAGTTTGGGCTGGTTTCCTCCACCTCAGACAAGATCATATCCCCAGACAATTAGGCTTTTTTACCCAGGTGCAAATCACTCTCAGCTAACACCTCAACCTCCTGTAAAGACTCACAACCTCTCTTAAGAGGACCTTTTTCACCAACCTTAATGTCAGAAACCCTAAACTTATCAACCTGCATGCCTTCTGAAGCAGCTTGTTTATTAAGTCTTGGTTTTCTAAGAAAAATGGTTTTTTTTTCCTATGGCAGTTCTTATCTTCCACAGAGGCAGGCTTAATAGCCACTTCAACCAGGCTAACATCAGTAAGAAGAGGACCCTCATTCACAATAGGAACATCAGACTGGACATTCCTATTGGGACTCTCCTCCTTATCCTGTGGAACAGTCACAGGATTCAAAGGGTTCTCTAATTGAGTGCTATCTAAATCCCCCACTTGTTGCAGCTCCTGATTAAAAGCCACACTATTCCTAATACCCTCTTCCTCCTCACTCCTAGCCACATTATGATCAGATCTAACAGTCTTATCTAAGTCACCTGCTTGACTTCCCTTATTCAGGGACTAGAGTTTCTAGCAAACCCAGAGAAGCTAGGACTAGCTCTCAACCATTCACCATACTGCCCAACATTCAACTCATTATTCTTGACATCTGTGGATTTGGTCACACAGTTCCTATCAGAGTGGCCAATCTTACCACAGTAGAAACAAAATGTTTGCAAGCTCTCATATTTGAAGTCTACCCAAGTAGCTGCAGATCCAACTCTAATAAGAGATCCTCTAGGAAGAAGTTCATTGACATTAACCTCAACCAAAACATTCACTATTTGCCCAAGTTGATCACTTGTGCCAGGGAGCTGAAAGTCCGGAGTATTATCAATTATCTTCCCAATCTTCAATCTTGTGTCAACAGATATCCAATGCAAAGGAAGATTAACAATGTGAACCCAGAGTTTAACAACTTCCTCATCATAAGAGAAGTCATTAGATCCAGGGCTCCACAATTTCATAAGGATATACTGTCCATCAAAGGACCAGGTTTTTCCTTGCAATATTCTATCCCTATCTTCCTCACATTGAAAGAGAAACTGAAACTTGTTATGGTCCCAAGCTTCTACTCACAAACTCCTTCTTAGTAATTCATATACTATTCAGAGTTGTTTTTAATCCACTAAGATTAGCTTTTTTATCCCCAAAGATTTTACCAATCAAACTCAATTGACATTCTTTAGTACTAGGAGCAATATCAACAACAGATAGCTCAAGCCCTAAACCCTCTTTATCAGAAAGCTTAAACTTAGACAATTTATCTGCCAACTCCTGGTCCATAGCTACCCAACCCAATTCAACCACAACAAAAACAAGCACCACAGAAAGCACAGAACACCAGAGACCAACCTCTAACAGCACAAATAGACCCAAACAAAAATACCACAAAACCAAGGCAACCCAAGAAAAACCAATTAACAAGCAGACCCCTCAAGAAACACACACACACAAGAGATACCAATTACCACAATCTACCAGAGCAAGTCAGAATAGCCACTTTATCTTCATCATAATAATATCAAGAGAAATGCAAAGAAGTATATTGAGCAATGTCAATTTGGCATCAGCAATGACAGGTAGACATGGCTTAACGAGCTAGGGTTCCAAAGAAACCTATCCCAATCCCTCAAACCAAGGAGTTGAATAAAAACCCGATTTCAGACCATCCATCGGAAAATATATAAAAGAATGAGAGAAAGTACCAGAAACGACCAATCCCTAGCCAAGAATTAGCTAAAGGAGCATAGAACAACCTGAGATCTAGATCCAATCACACAAGGAGGAACACAATAGCAAATCCAAGCACTGGAACTGGGAATCTCAAGAGAGAACTCAAATCCTAGAGAGGGACTTTTCTAAGGAAGCTTTTTCCAATTTCCACAAATTTACTATCCCAAATCCTTTACCCAAAACTAACCAACATGAGAGCAGTGAAAGAAGAATAAAAAAAAGGTTCATCTTATCAATTCACAATTAGTTATAGAAACATAAGATTTTTTGTCCACATCCAAAAGCAAAGCTTTAACAGTTGTCTTCTAGCCGCCGCCCGCCGGTCGGCACCACCATATTCAAAGACGATACAAGAGTCAGGTCGCATCCCTCATGAGCCGCCGTTATTACATCGAGTTGTCGTCACTCGCCTGGGCTCAGATTCACGCCGCCAGTGATGGGATGTGGATCCGACTGGTGTTGTCCATCAGAAGCAGGATCGTCATCTCCCTCAACTGAACCGCCGACCCTCAATCAGCCACTAGAAGGCCATCGGCGATCACAGAAATTTTCACAGGATTGCAGCGGGATTTTTGTTTCCATTTTTTCTTTGCGGACCCGCCTTTTGAGATGATGTTTTATGAGGAGTTAAATCTGTGAGAAAATTTTTTGTATCGTCGTTTGGGCTATGATTTTAGTTAAAGATCTATTTGTGTCTTTTAGCCAAAACATATTAATAAGCCAGTAAAAGGATCCTGTTTTTCAGGTAACACAAAATGAGTAAAAAACTTCAATAACAAAATACTTTGAAAAACTAACTAAGCATGAACTAAACTAGAGAAAAAACCTTCAGTAACAAAATGGGTGTTG